TTTTATTCACTTTCAAGAATTCGCCGCTTTTGAAAAGTTGCTAAATGCTTATCGTTCGTGGGCCCTTCAGTATCATTTCTTCGTATGTATCATTAATCGGGGCGCGCGGCGTTCATATCCATTATTCACTCGTTGGACCAATGCAATCATGAACTGACGTTTCATCACAACGCCCAGGTAGCAATAGTAACAGTTCAAAATTGCAATTTCACAACAGTTTTTACACTGTTACTTTTGTGCACTTTTTCATCGAAAAATTTGCTCTAGTACAACAGTTGAAAAACCAACGGAAAAGAGAAGTCCTTTGCGACTATAATCACTGAAAAATTTTTCTTACATACTTAAAAAATACCAGTGGAAAATTTATAATTTAGTCATGTTTTCTGAAAATATAACACAAATTTAACTAGTGTTATACACCGATCGAAAAGGAAACTATTATTGCAATAAAAACATACTTAGATTTGAAATAAAACGACGGTTTAAAATTCTCAATCAAAATCACTTACTTAACAAAACTTTTTTAAAGAAAGGAAAGTAGATTAACATTTTAATAACTAAAAAAAGTTAAAAAAATTATTCTAATTTATTTTTTTTTAAAGTTGATTTCATAAAACACAGAAGTAGACCATTTTGTTTTAAAAAAGCTATTTTACAAAACATAAAGTATTATACTGTACTAATGAGAAAAATTTAATCTAAATCAATAAAAAGATAAAAAAAAGACAATAAAAAACAAATTTAAATATCTCATTTGTTGCCATATTTTTGCAAAACACATTCTTATAAATAACCATGAAATATTAATTATTATTACATTATTTATTAAACAATATTGGTGAGAAACTATTTTTAAATCATTGTTTCCTGAAAACCGGTGTAGCTTTAATTTTTGTCGAAAAAGAATCCTTATAAAAAACTTTGATAACTATTTATCACTAACAAGGAAAATATAATTTAAATCGATAAAAAGATACAAGTGATAGTGATAAAATGACAGTTTAAATATCTGATTTATTGCAGTTTTTCTGCAAAACATTTTATTTTAAACAGTTGTGAAATATAAATTAGTATTACATTATTTTTTTAAATACAGATTTTAATTTCCGATTGTTTTATTGTAATCGGGGTGTTTCCTTTTATTTCCGATAGAGAGCTCCGATTTATTTTGTTTTTGGATGGGTCGTTTATGGTGCCTGTCTAACCTTTGTGTGTAGTGAAAACATAAAATATATTATTTATATTCTACGACATACGTTTTTTTATCGACGGCTTCTATGTTTGCTTTGTTCGGTGCATATGAGTGGATTTTCTTCTCACATTTTTGATGACCCCCCTGTGGTTAACTGTGCCTAGACAGGGCATGGGCCTATCTATAGCGTTGATTGTAGTGTGGTGTGTCGAGTGTAGTCACATCCCTGCTGCATAGTCTTTGTTGCTCCTCCTTAGAGGAAGTATCGGTGCTCACCGTCATCGGTGTTCAAAATAGAAATATGAGGCCTGAAACTGGGGAGTTCTATAATTGATCTTTTAAAACCAAAAAATAACAGTTTAACAAAATATTAAAAACGAATAAAATTTCATATATTGACACTGTTAATTTTCAATAAAACTACAATTTTACGAGTCGTTCTATTATTAGAAATTAGTTTTTCTATGGATATTTTAAGTTTTTTTTAATACTTTACAAGAATAATTCAAAACTCGTATTCAACATTTAAATTTTTTATTTTTATTTTAAGACGAGTGTCGCTTTACACCAGTAAATTTTCCAAATGAAATTTGTTTTTCACTACTTTAATCATTGTTGATTTATGTCATTAAATTATTTTAAACTGTTATTTTTAACTTCATAAAATAGGAATATAGCGCCTGAAACTGTTGTAACTGGGGAGTACTTTAATCGATCTTTTCAACCGATATAAATTGTTTTTTTATAATATATTAATAGGAATTAAAACTCTCATTTAATAGCAATAAAACTGTTATTTCGAAGATATAATAAAAATTATTTTATAGCAGACCTTGCTACCTGGGCGGTCAGTTGTATTAGAGTCAATAGAATCATACAATGCTCTATCTATCGCAATGGATAAACTAAAGCTTCTAAACAAATGAATAAACTCTATTTTTGATCTTAACGATCAAATGCACGTTCAAAACGCTAATTGCAGAAATGCGTATATTGTGATCAAATATCATTTTCCAATCATACAATGATTGATCCGGCCGTACAAACTCCAACTAAAGCTTTTGATGAGGGATTGTGAGCGTCAAACTCTTTTTTCAGTCTTTAAATGATCAAAATCCGCCAACAGCAGGTTTCAAACACTAATTGCAAAAATGCGTATCGTGATGGAGTGTCAATTCTTTGTGCCCAAAACGCGAATCTCGGCATTTCTACCGTATTTTTTAACAGTTCGAGATTATTCAAAATGCTGATGGAGTCTGAAAAAGCATCTTATTCTTGCTATTCTCAAGAATTATTACCCCTCTACTGACAATAAGGAGGAATATAGACAGTATTTTTACTCTCCTGGAAAGTCGTGTTTTCTGAAATACGCACATCTGCACTTTCACCATCGACATGTATTATACATCAAGGGCCTTAACATTTGAATAGTGGTTGTAACTTTATTTTTGAAATTTTCAAATATAAAAACCGTCAAATTTTATTTGTGAGGAGATGCAACCAAAAGTTGATTTCGCTTTCAAATCAAAAGTAGGTATATAATACCCTTATGCACGTATCTAATTTTGCACTGCTGCTTTGTACATGGTTTTTGAACGAGATCGTTTCCCAACGAATTTACTCGATGAAAGTTTTGTGATGCTACGTAGGTATGAGAAAAAAATTTGCAAAGAAATTTCATTGTAGAAGAAGACATGCTTAACTTACGAGAACGGCAGTAAAAATAGTTCGAAAACACATCTCGTCGATTCAATTCCAACAAGAAATTAATGATTATGGAACGTCTGGTATGGTTTTTATAATCAAAAATGTTCGATACTTACCTTGATTTATTTATTTGACCTTGATACATTTCGAACGCAGTGAATTTTTTTCCTTGTTTTTTTATGCTCTCACTGGGAAATACCACCTGATAAAATAATGAACCATCTGAATGAACAAATCATCCATGCTATAATAAACTTCGCAAACATATTCTTTCTTCTTCCTTAAAAATAACATGTGATTGAATCAGTGAAATGAAGATCGAAATTCAAGAAAATTGTTCACCTCTTTTAATCCACAGCAGTGGTGACTCATATATATGTATGTCGAAAGTAGTTAACTACATTTGAAAATATGGATAGTAAGAAAACTATGTGCACGAGATGTGTAAGCCTCATTTTCTCTTTTTTATTATTCCATATTTCCTTTAAGCATAAATTAATCCAATTTTGCATTATTTGCCACTAAGAGCAAAGTTAAAATACATATTAGAGGGTACGCCCCCCGGCCGCTACGCGGCCAAGTTCCGCGCGAGGATACTTCGCACTTCATTATATTAAATTGCCTATTCTGCGCTCCTGCGAAAAAAATGCATCAGTATAAAAGTACGAAGAATCATTTTTGAGGGGAATATTTTGTTTAAGAATATCACTGATTAAGCTCATTCATCGGAACATTGCCCTCTAAGGTCGGAAACAATTAGATCACATTTAGCAAAAAGGAACCAGCGCGATTACATTGTTGTAAACATGTTTTAAAAAACGCGAGTCGGGAATGATAGGTCGTATGATCCCAGTTTAACAGCGCTATTACCACCCAGCAACCAACTAGCGCAACGTGAGCGAGTCATCGTCGCAGTGTGAAGCGCCTTCAATTCCGAAAAGCGGCAATATGAGCATCACCCAGGGTCGAATAGTTATCTCACAAACGCCTTCCTTAAATGATATTCAAAATCGAGGGCTGCACTCATCGAAAGCCGAATTATCGCAGGCTGAAACATTGCACACTTCCACTCGTGTTTTATTTTTATTTATTAATTTATTTATTTATTTTAAGAAACTAAACAATAATAATTATTCTCAAAATTGTGTGCAACTTTTTCTAAATCGCTGAACTTTTTTTTTTTGTTAATTCTATACGGGAGCAAGCACAATCGATTCCGACCTCGAAGAAAATCTGCTCCAATGAATGCAATTAATCAGTGATATTTTTGAGAAAAATGCTCACCTCGAAAATGATTCTGTGATGCGTGAAATTCCGCGCTCTTCACTTTTTTTTTTAATGATGCACTATTTCGCTGAAACGTGTTTTTCTTGTAGAAAAGGCAATTTTTGATCATAGGAACGGTTATTCAATGCTTAAAATTGACAACTCGAGATTTTTATGAATAAAAGTCGTCGGCGTGAGTTCTAAAAATGGTCCGATTGGTTTGAAACTTAACAGGATTTATTATATTATTACTTTTTCCCCTTTAAATGCATTGGTACCTATTGCTACTGGAGACCGGGGAGCTGAACAGCTGAATTTATCTAACTTTTTTCAGCATACAAATAATCCGCATCCTAGAGTCACATACCTCAAGTTCGGGTGACTCCATGGGCATTTCAACTGAAATATCACCGAAGTAGGTACTTTAGATGTATGACCCGAACTTCACAAGTACACCAAGTTTTCGAATGTACGATCTGAAAAACTTCAGAGATCCATAAGACCTAAACCTTGGGTCTACCTGGCGCGCGATTATTTTTTTTTTTTTTCGATAATAGAATAATATCAATAAGATACCAATAGAATCTCTCCATTGTTTTTGGCCCTTTGATATGAGAAGAGATACAACTGATATAAGTAGAAATTTTGATAGTTATTGGATCTGCGATGTTAGATATCTCCCAGTGCGCCGTGAGCAACTTCAGAACCCTCCAAAACCCCCCCTCGTTGACGCTCATCAGACGTTTCATGTATTGCGCCTTTACATCAGCCAAGGAGAATGAGCCCCTAAGGACCCTAAGGTAAATGGAGGCAGTCTAACAAATAATACAATGAGGTTGTTGAAGCGACTTTCCGCAGTTTAATTTGAACTGGATAACAAGAAGGAACAATGATTTACCACTTATTCTACGGCCGTAACAATACAATATCACTTGAAGGGAGTTTAAATTCACGAACGTTCTAAACTCAAAACTTGAATCATCACTCGGAGTTTTGTCTGTAATTTAACATTATAAATATTAAGTGCTTCGTGTACAAATCGGATTAAGCAGCAGTATTGAAAAGATAATAATCTATGTCATATGATCTTTTTGATGATTATTCATCGAAAATTCAAAACGCTCCTCGCACTGAGTGAAAATATGAACGATCTAGGCATTGGAAAGGTTGGTGAATAATCACCACACTCCCTGAACGAGATGGAAGGCTTGTGAAAATTTGTGTCACATCGCGATGCAGTAACGAGAGAAACACGTCACCTGATTTTTTCCTACAATTTTCCTCGCATTTCGCCTTGTTGCGGGATCGATCTCGTTACCTATAAAAGTTCGTGTTTTTCCGCTCTTTTGAGAATAGTTGACAAAAGTTTCAATCGAAACTGTCAGCAGTATTTTTATAGAAATATTAAAATTGAGCGTAAATTTTACCACTATGATCAGCAAAATTTTGTGTTTCCATTAGATCTCTTACTTCGCATCCTCCGTGGCTATAGGGTGTATAAAAACTGTTAAATAAACAGGCTCCTGTAAAGGTTCATTTATGAGCATTTTTAAAACTCCTTCCTCAGATTTTCTAATTTGTATCCAACGTACCGTGCTTTTAATTGATTCTTTGAAAGTGCTAAAGTCCGATGGGCTTTTTCACGCGCTCATCTGCCACAATTTAAAAAATTTGTTGAGTGAAGAAGTTCTGTACCAACCCCAGCTCCTAAAATTTTGCCTTGTTGAGGGGCGATCGTTCATCACTATTGCACAAAAGTCCATGTGTTTTTTTCCGCTCTCTTAAGAACATTCTCAAACAGTTCCAAGCGAAAATGTCAGCAGCATTTTCCCCCACTAAAACCCACCTAAAAAGAGAATTATTTTTTTACTTGCCACGGCCTTTAGTACTTTAAGGAACCAAGTTCAAGCAGTCACTTGCAATGGCAACAACAAACAGTTCTAAAACTAATACTGGCCTAATTGAATCCCATTCCGGCGAATCGGCCCCCAAACCCTTCCCCGATTTCCCCACTACCTCCTCCAAAACCTCCTCCGTTAGCGGCGAAATCTCCGCCATTGCCTCCGAAACCGCCCCCGAAGCCTTGGATTCCCTCTGGCCCGCCAAATCCCGGCGGGAATCGTCCTCCTCTCGGCTTTCGAAGGATCATGATCCTAATCCTCCGCGGTGGGCCGCCCATCCCTCCGAACAGACCACCATGCCCACCGGGACCTCCAACGCCGAGGGGACCGTCTTCTATGGGACCGACCCCGGGGCCGCCGATGACCTTCATGCCGCCTGGGCCGCCGAAGATGGCCTTGAGGAGGGCCAGCAAAGGGCTCATCCCGGGAGGGATCTGCCCCGGTTTCGGGAGGGGGCGCGGCGGTCTTACGCCGTTATTCTGTTGGTTCTCTGAGCCAGGCACAGGGAGAGGGTTGGTCACAGGGAGGGGGTTGGTCACGGGGAGGGGATTGGTCACGGGGAGGGGGTTGGTCACGGGGAGGGGGTTGGTCACGGGGAGGGGGATGACCACAGGCTGCTGGACGGTGGGGGCGGCGGCTTCGGTGACCGCGGAGGCGGCATCGGTGAGGGTGGTGGAGCTCCCTACTCCGGTGGAGGCGGCGGTTGCGGTTGCGTCGGCGGCCACCGTATTGAAGGGTTGCTGCCCTTCAGGGATAGCTGAGTTGCCGGGCCCTGTGAACGTGTCGAAATTGAGTTGCGGCTGCTGCACCGGCTGCTGCATCGATCCCATCTCCAGCATGTTGTTCGTGCTCGGGTCTTGCCCTCTCGCCCATGACGCCACGGAGACCTGCAAAAAGAGAACAGACCGTCAGCTAAGGCGCCTTATCGGCAGTTCATTTTATAGGGAAATTTGTGAAATCCCGTAAAAAAAGGAAACTTGTAAGTTCTTTTTCTCGCCTTTGAAAATTGTATACACCCTCTAGCAATTTGCAAATAGGTATCTCAGGCGCCATTTCACTAATCATTTACACAAATGCGAGACTTAACTTATTGAGAAGGGCAAAATATACAAGATGTACACTTGCAAATACGTGTAGACTTCCAGCCCACCTCGCTGAATAACGACGCTGTAGGGTAGAAAAAGTGTGCGGAACCCCCATACCTCGTAACATTTAAAAACATATTTTCACCTACCAATTTTATTCCTTTCTTCTTGAATGGGTAAATTAATCGAAAAGTTCAAGGGATTTTTGATGTACAAAGAAACGAAACACACAATTTTAAAAGTACTTAAACGTGAACCCATTCACACAAAGAAGTAGATCAAATGAGACTTTGCAGCATTGCAGTGTGAATAATCCCTTGGTTTTGACCCCTTAAAGTCAAATCGATCAAGATTTTGGCGCCGGGAAGCACCTCTAGCATCCTCCATTTCCTCTTATTGTTAGTGCGTTTCCTCCTTTATTCTTTTTCCAACATAAATTTTCGTTTATTTTCTTTCGGGTCTATTTTCATTTTCAAACTTGATTTATTAGAAATTTTGACTTGTGTCTTTGCATGACAACGAAATTTTCATCTCAGTATTTATAGTGATTTTCTGTTTCATAAATGGGCTTTACCTACCCTAGACAAATATAAAATAAAAAACAAAAGTAAAAGATATTAAGATAAAATCTAATTTATAGAGAGCAACAATGGTAGCATGCACGAAAGAGCAACGACAAAATTAAATAATCGTTACCTACATGGAGAAACATTTTCTGCTGGATCAATGAAAATTTCCCTTGCTTCAAATTTTCATCTCAGTCACCTTAAAGAGACGAACATGTCACAATAAGAAATTTACGGTTGACTGAACGAGAATTCTCGTCCAGGCGTTATCATATAACTGGAAAATTTTTCTCAGTGTACACTGCAGGTACTTTTAAATTATTGTGAATAAATTAAAAATGTTTCTCACAGGGCCGGATTTACCTACTTGCCGCCCATGAGCCGCCTGTGTTTTGCCTCCCCCCTTCTCATTCGTTTTGAAACATCAATAAAAACCACCGAGTGAACGTGCCGGATGGGGAGGGGTGCATAAGACGCGTTTACCTACTCGTGTTGAATACATTTTTTGCGAAAGCCCAGTCAACACAACTGGCAAAATTTCACGGAACTTTGCGCGAAAGTTAAGTTCCGTAAACATATTTCTGTGTGAACAAGGTCCTCCATTTATAAGAAATGAACCAACAAATTGAAAGAACAAACATAAATGTGGTTTAATAATTTTAACTTCCGCCGCTCTGCCGGGCTGATCGCACTGTGACTGGCGCAATGCGTGAAGTATTCCTGCAGTCTTGTAGGCGCTACGCGTTTCACGCCAACCGCTCGCTCCTGACCGCACTGTGTTTGACGCAATGGGTGAAGTATTCATGTAAGGCGCTAATATGTGTTACATGTCGACCGCCGTGCCGAGGGCTTGTCCTTTTCATCTCAAGTCCTCATCATTCCTCTCTGCGCTGAGCTCCAAGCGAATTTGCGTGTTTAGTTCCTCTCTTAACTCGACTAATTAAAGATGCTGTCTCTTTTATCACCGAAAAACGATAATATTAGAAATTACTCTACTCTCAGGAAAGAGAGATTTTGTCCCCTTTACTCATTGATAATTTTTTTTCTGAATCCGATTTTTTTATACCTACGTTTAAAAAAATTGCAAAATTTGCCGCCCCCTAGATTTGCCGCCATGGGCCGCGGCCGATGTGGCCACCCCCTTAATCCGGCCCTGGTTTCTCATGTGAATATTAAACTCTGATTACCACTGCTTATATGCAATTGTGCTTGAAAAAACCAGGAAACAACCCCCCCCCCCAATGAAAATTGAGTAGATAAACACCACAATAACCACGAATAAATAAAGAGAAAAATCAGCTTTTTGCAGAACCTGAGCAAAAATACTAGGGTTAAGAAACATCACTCAGTACGAGTCTTAAACAACTCACCAGGGCGATCTGAACGAGAACCACTTTTCGCACACTGAAGTTCATGGCAGGAATTTTAGTCTTCTGGGGTACTCTCCAACACTCTGTCTGACCTTATATATCCCCTCGTCCCACTGTTACCTGGAAATGCAGTCCATGGTGTGAATGAGCCAAACTCGCACGTCACGTGTTTATGAAGTTTCCCAAGATCGTGCAGCGCAACAATGGCCCTCCTCAAGTCCTGCCACCCATGCCATCTGGAAAGCTGGTGCCTTGCCAGGAGGAATTTCGCTGGCATGTGGCAAAACAATTTTGCTCATTTTTTCATACGTCATACAGGGTACGGATCCTTTGGAGAAATACATTCGGTCCTCTCACACTGCGGCTCGCCCGAATGTTAAATGCGTATCTCGTGGCAGCTGCACAGAGAGAAACTTCAACACAAAAGTTTGGCTGATATGGGGAGTAAAATAAAAAATAACCTTAGCCCCCGGTTAGCAATTCCAAAAGAAAATTTCAGCTGGTTTCCTTGAGGGAATACAATAAAAAGCGAGCAGTGAATACTATCGTCGAAATCAGAGGAATGCATGTTCTCAGTCTCTTCGTTAATATCTGCGCTACATTCACCGCAAACTGTACCTACCAAAATGAACACGACATTTGTGTTGGCGCGTGTTTCACTTCCTGTATTAACCAATAGTATGACACAAGAACACAAATATTATTATCAGCGTATCGAAAAAAAGGATCTTATGTGAAATGGTCCAATTTGACGTGGCAATATTCCTCTCCTCGAAACGATTCGCTTCATGTTGCTTGCCACAAAGGGCAATAAATTCAAAAGACTAAATTCTAATGATTTTAGAGGGAATATAATTTTGTTTTTCACATTGCATACAGACCTATTACTTACTAGGGGGCCCTGCCCCCTGACCGCCACGCGGCCCAACCCCCGGCAGGGCGCCTCGCGGCCCAACCCCCGGCAGGGCGCCTCGCGCCCTCAGGCCCGCTTAGCGGGCCCTATACGCATATGTATAGGCAAAAATGTTCTTCCATTTTAATACACCGTGTTTTGTTCGAGCTGCATAGATTTCAAAATTTTCGTCGTAACTCTCAGATTTGTAAATGATGAGGAATAGCTGGATGTACATAATTTCACAGTCCACTTACTGGAGAAATTTCCATTTATTATGTTATTTTTAAATACTTAATTTAAAAAAAAATCGGATTTCGACCGTTAAGAGTTAATAATATTTGGTCCGTCCCGACGCGACGCAGCGCCTGCCTTCTCACTTTGTATCTGCTGTTTATCTGCTGTAAATATTAATAGAAATTCAGCAATCAAGTAAATTGACCAATGCCGCAAATCGAAGCCGGAAGAATGCAGGAAAAATTGAGTAAAAACCTTATACCTTGGACCTTGAACCTTGAACCCTGAGCTATGCACCGTTCCTCAACTCTTCGAATGAGGAGCCCTTCACGAGCTTTTCCATTGTTTTATTGTCTATTCGAGTCACTCAGGTAGAATCCCACACCTTGACGTTTCTAGCGGAAGCGACATATCTCTCACGCTATTAACGTTGGACTTAAGTGACATGAGCTTTAAAAGCTCTACAACATTAAAAGTTCGGGGTTTCATAATTTTTTGCACATCTACATCTACTACATAGATGACATACATGTAAAGATTATCCTTATCGGTCCGGCAGTTTGTCAGAAATAGTGCTTCCAAGATTTTGCTTGTAGCTGTATAATATAGATTTGATTCAAAATGATGCGTCGGGTGCAAGCGAAGTACTTGTAAAAATGCGGGTCGTATAACTTCTGGGAGCTCTCTGAGGCCTAAATTTTCATTTTTTATTACCTTTCATTTTCCCGCTCTACTGGCTCAATTTCCATGATTTTTGTGGCTATCAATGAGTGATATTCCCTGGATGAGTTCGGTCTGTTCAGATTTTGAAAATATGACCCATGCCTTTTATTTTAATATTCGTGTTGAAATTGCATGAATTCTCCTATTTAGACGATGTAAATGTTTTAATTTTATATACACATACCTCCCACAGATCGGTCTTAAGAACAATCGAGCCGATTTTCATTATTTTAGCGACTATAATCGATTAAATATAGTCCCTAGAGCGATGTCGATTAGAGCGGACTGCTTTATTTAGATCAACTCACGGGGGCCCTGGAGGCCGCTTAGCGTCCTCTGGGGGTTGGGTAGCGTAGTGGCTATAGGGGGTACAGCTTCCTAGTTTAACTCTAAAGCAATCAATATTATTAATCAGATAAACACCAAGTTTAACAAATACGCATTAGGTCGCATTCAGTTTGAACCGAGAAAAAGAGGTTTGAAGTCTTGAAGTTTAATACCTCCGTGTGTTCATGTTAGGTTTTAGGCATGTCAGACTGCGTGTTAAGCATGTTAAGATTATTTTCCCGTTTAGTTCAAAGTACTTTTCCCCGACCTTGAATGTTCAACAGGAGAAATTGCATCAATCGATTTCAAAACTACGCCCAACTCATGTTTCCCTAGGTAACACGTGACTTAGTGGGTTTCTGTTGACCGCCGTCCGCATTATTACTAAACTCGAAATTTTTATGTGAGCGATCTCATTCAGGCCCGCCACAAGGGGGAGGATACTGGGTCCCTGGTACCGGGGCCCGGGCCCCGAAGGGGGCTCGTGTTACCCGTGAAAAACCACTTCGAATTCACATGCAACCCTTGTTTCGTAACAAAAAGTGAAAAATTTACCCTAAAAATTTCGCAAAAGGTGAATAGATTTTCAGAAACACGCTGGGGCAGTGAAAAATTCTTCTTAAATTTTCAAAGAAGTATACCTCTTGGAAAATTTCTATCTATTTTCAAGAATTTCAGTACAGGGGGATATTTTTAGTAGCTGCATTTCATTTTCTTCCGTCGTCAGATGCCAAGGGTCTCCAGTCTGGGTATCCTCGACTTCAATGGCTCATGGCTCAACTCCCTTGCCATAGACTAACGAAGAGGGAGTCCAGGGGGGCCTGGCCCTCATAGAACTAAAAATAGTATCATATGCCCCCCCCCCNNNNAAAAAAAAAAAAAAAAATTAAACATTTCGGGATGTTTTGAATGCAACAATTCGCAAGTATTTTGTGCTGAAAGTATAAAAAAAAACATAATTATTCAGCAGGAATTGATTGAACAATTCTTTTTAGAAGCTTCAAAATGCGTCCAATTAGTCGTAAAAATTCTAAAATTTCTCGAGGATACCCCTCGGACCCCCTCTCCCCCCCCTCCGTGCTTGGGGCCCGGACCTTAAAACTGGTACCAGGGCCCGAGATGAGATGTAGAGCCTGCATGAAGGCTATTTCCATTTAAATCTTCCGTCACATTCATACGGCGCAATGATACAACTATTTGAACTCTCCGGAATGCGTGAGGTATCACGCCGCATTTGAAGGCGTTTTCAAAACAGCCAGGTTCCGATACCCGGATTATCGTTTTGCATAGTTCATATTCTTTTGTTACATTCCGTGCCACTTGTTTATTTTTAATCCTCGTAGAAAAACAACCCATTTGTAAATACAATTCTAGCTGAAGCGCACTTCAGCTATGCATTCAACACTGCGAAAATTTCAGAGGCAGTCGACACGCCCAGCGAGCATGGAGGCTATCTCCATTTAAATTTTCCGTCACATTCTTACGGCGCAATGATACAACTATTTGAACTCTCCGGAATGCGTGAGGTATCACGCCACTTTTGAAGGCGTTTTCAAAACAGCCAAGTTCCGTTATCGGAATAATCGTTTTGCATAGTTCATATTATTTTGTTTCCATTTCTAAGCACTTGTTTAATTATAATCCTCCTATAAAAGCCACCCATTTGTAAATACAATTCTAGCTGAAGTGCACTTCAGCTGTGCATTCACCACTGCGAAAATTTCAGAGGAAATCGACACGCCCAGCGTGCATGGAGGCTATTTCAATTATAATCTTTCGTCACATTCTTACGGCGCAATGATACAAGTATTTGAACTCTCCGGAATGCGTGAGGTATCACGCCACATTTGAAGGCGTTTTCAAAACAGCCAAGTTCCGTTATCGGAATAATCGTTTTGCATAGTTCATATTATTTTGTTTCCATTTCTAAGCAATTGTTTACTAATAATCCTTCTATAAAAGCCACCCATTTGCGAAATACAATTCTAGTTGAAGCGCACTTAAGCGCATTCATGACTGCAAAAATGTCAACGGAAATCGAAAAGGCCAGCGTGCATGAAGGCTATTTCCATTTAAATCTTCCCTCACATTCATACGGCGCAATGATACAACTATTTGAACTCTCCGGAATGCGTAAGGTATGACGCCGCATTTGAAGACGTTTTCAAAACAGGCAAGTTCCGATACCCGGATTATCGTTTTGCATACTTCATATTATTTTGTTTCCATTTCTAAGCAATTGTTTACTAATAATCCTTCTATAAAAGCCACCCATTTATAAATACAATTTTAGCTGAAGCGCATTTCAGCTGTGCATTCACCACTGCAAAAATTTCAGAGGAAATCGACACGCCCAGCGTGCATGGAGGCTACCTCCATTTAAATCTTCCGTCACATTCTTACGGCGCAATAATACAACTATTTGAAGTCTCCGGAATGGGTGAGGTATCACGCCGCATTCGAAGGCGTTTTCAAAACAGCCAAGTTCCGTAATTGGAATAATCGTTTTGCATAGTTCATCTTATTTTGTTTCCATTTCTAACCGCTTGTTTAATTATAATCCTCCTATAAAAACCGCCCATTTGCTAAATACAATTCTAGCTGAAGCACACTTAAGCGCATTCATGACTGCAAAAATGTTAACGGAAGTCGAAAAGGCCAGCGTGCATGAAGGCTATTTCCATTTAAATCTTCCTTCACATACGGCGCAATGATACAACAATTTGAACTCTCCGGAATGCGTAAGGTATGACGCCGCATTTGAAGGCGGTTTCAAAACAGCCAAGTTCCGTTAATGGAACAATCTTTTTGCATAGTTCATATTATTTTGTTTTCATTTCTAACCACTTGTTAAATTATAAATCCATAAAAACCACCCATTTGCTAAATACAATTCTAGCTGAAGCGCACTTAAGCTGTGCATTCAACACTGCAAAAATTTCAGAGGAAATCGACACGCCCAGCATGCATGGAGGCTATCTCCATTTAAAGCTTCCGTCACATTCTTACGGTGCATCAAGTGAACGTGCCGGAGGGGGGGGGGTGCATGAGACGCGTTTACCTACTTGTGTTGGATACATTTTTTGCGAAAGCCCTGTCAATACTACCAGCAAAATTTCACAGAACTTTGCGCGAAAGTTAAGTTCCGTAAACCTATCTCTATGTGGACAAGGTCCTCCATTTATAAGAAATGAACCGAAAAATTATGAAACAACAAACATAAATGTGGTTTATTAATTTTAACTTCCGCCGCTGAGCCGCGCTGATCGCACTGTGATTTGCGCAATGCGTGAAGTATTCCTGCAGTCTTGTAGGCGCTATACGTTTCGCGCCAACCGCTCCTGACCGCACTGTGTTTGGTGCGATAGGTGAAGTATTCATGCAGTCTTGTAGGCGCTAATATGTGTCACATGCCGATCGCCGCGCCGAGGGCTTGTCTTCTTCATCTCAAGTACTCGTCATCATTCCTCTCTGCGTTGAGCTCCAGGCCAAATTGCGTGTTTAGTTTCTCTCTTCACTCTACCAATTAAAGATGCTATTTCTTGTATCACCGAAAAACGACAAAATTAGAAATGACTATACTCCCAGGAAAGAGAGATTTCGTCCTCTTTTCTCATTCATATTTTTTTTCTGAATCCGATTTTTCATGCCTACATTTAAAAAAATTGCAAAATTTGCCGCCCCCTAAATTTGCCGCCGTGGGCCACGGCCTATGTGGCCACCCCATTAATCCGGCTCTGCCTCCCCCCCCCCTATTCCCTGGGGGTATACACGTGAAAAATATCACTGGTTTTGAGCCTCTGAGAAGATCCTCTATCAGTTTATCACCCTTGAGAAATTGTAGAATTCTTAATTAGGCTGGTGTGGCCGACCGAGAGGTAGCACCCACATTGAATGAGAGGAATTTTTTTATTACCTTTAAGAGTACTTCGCAAGTGAATATCTACTCATTTAAACTTAAAATAGAGCAGCAATTATTCTAATCAGGGACGTCTATTTCTATTTTTTCATTATAGAGGCGCATGTCTCAGCGGTCTACACTTGCTCATGGCATGGTTTTACCTCTTCCCCTTCCCCTCCGCTAAAAAAATATTTTCTCCCCTGGTTTTTTATACCGTGCCAGATGCCAAATTATGCAGAGAATAAAACCTGGATTAGGATTAAATATAGGATTTATCATACCTAGAGCACGGTTTAACTTATGATGATAGAGACGAGATTATTCTCTTTCATCCTTAAATTACTAGGATAAATTGGTGCAGAATTTATGGTAGATACCTACAATCAGTGGTATCTTTTACCTTTACAATAGTTTATCGGTACATTTGCAGTGCACCATTTGGCACTCCTGTCAGTGGGTCACGTGATGCGGGATGCGGTGTGTTTACATCTGGGTGCCTGTGTGGTAGTGTGTTTCCAATACCATCTAATCATACCTGGCCATTGGAGAATACGTGTGAGAGTGTGTGAGTAATAGCTCCCGACGTAGACATAGCGGCCATAGCGCTAACGGTCGTTTCTTTCGAGCTCCAAGAGATACTCTTATATTCAGCTTCTTTATCTCTACCCATTCTAAATTTTTCTTGTATGGAATGTAACAAAATGTGTTACAAAATAAAATTTCTACCTTTAAATCATAAGAGTTGAAGTGGTCCCCCCCCCCCGCCTTCAAATAAATACTAACTTGCACCGAAATAAGGTGAAAAAACCAATTTTTCTCAAAGGGGCATGTATTCAGGAGTCTATTTTACTCGCTACTTTGCGGTTGGGACCTAAACTAGCATCACCTAGCGTCAGGAAGACATCTCGCTTCACGAACCAAATCTTCTGGATGATCACGTGCCTTGTATTCCCCATATGACTTCACTACCATTATTAAATATTTTTTTTCTTCCATTAAAACGCAATTCGGTCGCATATATTTAGCTCAAACGGTCTACCTTGCTTAGAGCCTTCGTAACAAATTTTTTTCCCCGCATTCAAGCACTTTTTATGTAAAAAGAATCAATTTTTGTAAGTTCGCCCTATACAATCCCGTGTATTCTCGGGAGTTACGAACATTTAACCTCAAACCCATGGCCAGGTATGATTAGATGGTATTGGTGTTTCTCGAAGAAGTTTCTTCACCTCGATTTCGCCATCGCAGTTCAATACACTTTCTCACCGGTAATCTACTGGAAAGTTCTTTGGTTTTAATTAAGTGACCGTTTTTTCATTTAATTTACCATATTTTATCCGTGAAGATCTCGAACTAGATCAGATTTTTTACTCTCGTGCCGTACTTTAAACAGTTCAGATCATCAAGCTACCGTCGTTGTTGTTGTTGAATCCGTCTCCGCGTTTGATCGATAAATTTTCCACTTACTTATTACGTGGTTTATTTCTGAACAAGTTTCACTCATCCTGCATGCGGTATAGAAACGTTATTCAGCTATTTTCGTCGACTGTAAACGTACATTTTAACAAGCGTTGTTTTTGGAAAGTGTGATGTCAGTTCCCCAGCATGACACTCTCGAAGATTTTGATATCACCACCGACGAATTGGGCAAGATCAAGGAAGCTCTGAAGAATCAGGAGTTTCGGGATCTATTTAAGAATTACGTTGAAGAAATCAACGACCCGGAAAATAGGAAGCTTTACGAAAAAGAAATTGTCCAGCTCGAGCGTGAGAGAGGGTATGCTGTTGAATTCATTCATCCCAAGATTGGTTATGTTATCAAAACAAGCTCCAACGGCACCACTAAAACCTACATCAATGTCTGTAGCAATCCCAATATTGAGCCACCCAGCTCTGCAAAATCCAATCAAAATGGTAGCAGCGGTCTCAATTGGTCGATTCCGTACCTGCTGACTCCGCTCAAGAAAATATTTGGTCGCAACAAAAATATTCTCCATGTTTACGACGCTGTTTTCCATCCTGATACATTACATCTTGCCAATAAAAATGAAAAGTTCCGAGATGCTGTCAACCACACGGCTTTGGAAGGTGTCGAGTCAAGCTTTAAGATCGAGCTAGACAAGAAAAATTTAAAATTTTTAAATGTCAAGTACAAAGGTGCTCAACAACCAACTGTTGTTCGTAAAAAACTGAATAATGTGGATGCCCCTCCAAAATATGATGCCGATGACATTATCAACAAGTTGAAATTCGGTGAACACAAAGTGTTCCAGCCTGCACCGAATGAGACAACTAAATTAGATGAGTCCGTATCTAAAGAGAACTCTCCACATTACCATTTGCCAGACTCTGATTATGCCGTACCTAAATACAGACTGAAGTACCGGAGCAGTATAGACTATCAAGACTTCACTGATGATTCATTGAGTAAAATCAATGCTGCCACTCCAAAGGAACTTGTTGTGATTGTGTCTCTACCACTTCTGAAATCAACATCTGATGCCAATTTAGACATCACAGGCGAAAAACTGTCTTTGGTTTGTGAAACTCCTGCCAAGTACAAATTAGAAATTAATTTACCTTACAGCGTGTATGAAAGCAAAGGCAAGGCTGTATTTGATAAGAGCCTCAGAACACTAACTGTCACCTTACCTGTGGCAAAAATAGAAGAGAATCTGGTCAAAGCATTTGAGTATCTTCGAGAGGACAGCGGTGTCGAAAGTGATCGAACAAGCGGCACAAGTTCCATTGAAGATGATTCTGCTTTCTCTAGTGATGGAAAGACTAACATCCTTGATGATGAGCAAGGATGTTCTGCTGAAGAGTGCGCCAATCCTGATTGTGATATTTTAGAGTCTCCCAAAAATTGTGATAAAAATATTCATTACTCGTTTCCTAAATTTACCACTAACTACACAGATTCAACCCTTGCATTTACGCTACATATCAAGAACATAGACGCCTCTTCACTTTCAAAAAAGCTGCTCAAGAACAACACAGCTATTTTGTTGCATCTCTATTCCATTGGATCTGGACACTTTCCATCTTACTACAGTTTTTATGTGGATCTTACAAAGCCTTTTGAACCAAGTGCTGTGAATGTTGAGATTTGGGATAATAGTGTGATAGTTCATATCTCACTACATTCTGAGCCTCTGAAAAGCATCAGTTACTACTATGTTGGTCTAAATGAGAATGATTGCAACCTGTCAAAACTTGAACTGCCGCATCCTGCAGTTGTTGCTGAAAATTTCTGTAAAGTGAAGGTGAGAAACGTTTTCATTTCCTCTTTTCCCCATGAACATAGTAGAAACGAAGAGGAAAGTCGGAATTAGGTATAAGAATGAACAGAATTCAGCAGATAAGAATCAAGTCCATCATTGTGTTTTTCAAATTGTGCATCTTCTTCTTTGAGCACCGCCATAAAAATTGAATGTATGTACACTCCTGGAACCTGCAGGATTTGTTTCATTTCTAACTTACAATTTTTAGGTAGAAAAATATGAGCTGTTCAAACTCTCCGGGCGCTTTCTAAAAAATGGAGAAGTTGCACGATCTTGAAAACACTGTAATGTCCTTTCCCCCCCCCATTGGTCAATTTAAATAGATTACATTATAGAAGAATATTAAACTACAAGTGACAAGGGTTAGAAATATAAAATGGTGTGACCGTATTAAAGGAGAGAGAGAGAAAGAGAAGAGAACCGGAAACGCAATGAAAGCATACCATCGGCACTCCCCTCCCGTCCTCCAGTAATTGGAGGACAAGATAACAAGATGACAGGGGACAAGATTAAAAAGAAAATGGGGCAATGAGCAGATTTAGGTGTGTTAGGTTAAGCTAAAATCTATGGCAAATCTAGTGCCTTAAAAACTACAGATTTAACACTAATCACTTCTTTAGCAAAACGTTTGATTCTTGTCCATGCTGTCAGACTGCCAAGGGCGATTCTCTGGAAGTTCTGGACAGTCAGGTCTTTTCCCAGGTCAGCTAATAGTTCAAGTCTGTGTCTCATAAACCTATCACAGCCAAAGATGGTGTGCTGAGCGTCGTCAATAACTTCACTCGTACAAAAGATACAAAATGGGCTTTCCACGAGCTTGAATTTGTGCTGTAACGTACTTGGCGCCTTTCTGTTAAATGCTGTTCAAATGAAAATGCTGAAGGAGAGAATAAGGGATGACTCCTGAGATTGCTTACATTTATCATAGAGAAATTATTTGCATGAACTAGATAGTTTTTTATTCAATAAAAAGTTTAACAAAAAATCATTAATCACTTCAAGAACACATTGCCAAAAGAAATTTCTTGTGTGGCATGAGTAGAAACCCAAAAAAAAATTGAACAAAAAAAAAAAATAATCTTACATTGAGTTTGGCTTCGCTGCTTAAATAGCACAGTCTTTTAGTTTATATGACACAGTGGCTACAGTCTTAATTTAATTAATAAATGCAATAAAATCTGAACTGAGCATCACCAAAATAAAACAACTGCTCTACAAGCCATTGAGCACTTCCCTAAGCTAAAACTTTTAAAAGCCTCCAGAAATAAGTACTAGGCACTAGCAACCGGTCAGAAAGTAATTACTTACCTACTCAGATTTTAATTATTGAAAATTATTTACCACCCTAACTTTATTTTTTGTTTCAGGATCAGTGCAAACACAACGAAAATTACGGCATTACAGTTTCTAAAAATGATGCAAAAGAGGTCAACATTGATTTATACCCTATTACAGACTCAAAGGTATCCAAAAATACTGCTGAAAAGGTATCAATCAATTCCAACAGTGATGATGAGCTAGTAAATGGAAATAATGTTGAAACTGAGACAAATGTAAAACCGCAACAAGAAGAGAGCTCCAAGCCGAATCAAAAATCCTCAAGGAGGAAAAAGCGACGGTAATAGACTTTCTATCTGTAGTTTATGAATATATCCAAAAAGAGACCCTTTGTTTGGACAAAATTCTCTCTGTTTCCACCAAACCAATAGATCCTAAGAATAGGACTTTGGTAGTATTTTGGTGCACAGTCAGAGGTAACTTTGAGCTTGAAACTGGCAAAACCAGTTCCAACTGAGCTAAACCTGGTTCCCTGAAATGATTGTAAACTCACTTCGCTAGACCACCTTGGCCATTATTTGGGGCCTGTTTAGTTAAGTTAGCCTGTTTGGATGAAGCATGAAGTACCATCAGTCAACTGTAGTAGAAGTGTTGAGAAACTGCATCGTTAAAATTAAATCACAAAGAATCCCTTAATTCAGATAGGAAGAAAGTAAGGGAAAATATATGTGCAGGTATTTTTTGGTTATGAATAATTGAATAAAATTCCACTCAGAAACTGATCACCAACATTAACATCATAGGTAATTTTTGTGTTTTAAGAGGACTGTTTATTTTTCTGTTTTGTCCCAACGTTTCGTTTGCCTGGGTACAATTTTATTATTCTTAAAGTATGATAGTGAGTAATAAACCTATTTAGTCCATTCAGTAATCAAGGACAATTTGTTTGTTACTCAGTGGTATTTTAAGCAATTCGCCAAACCAACTCAGTGCAAAATTAAGTTGAATTGACTTAATATTTTTTTTACATCTGAAGTTATGATAGCTTTTTTCAAAAATTTTGTAAATCTTTTCCATCCTCAATATGAAGCCGATTTTCAGGCCTTTCCCAATCAGTAAGGTGGCTGCTAAAATGTCACTACAAAAATATTTTTATTGAATAGTAGTGCGGCATTATTTACCCAACCACCCGTACTGGACAGGACCAATGTGCAAGAAGGAGCCGGAAAATATTTCAAGCCAATCGGTTATCCTTCTTAAGAGCTTGCTAAATATACATGAGGAGTGGTCTTCCTTCAAAGTCAAAGAAACAACTGGGTAATGAAAGCTGTAGATTTGAACTGATATTTCCAAACCATTTACTTAACCTTCCTTTGCAGTGACTGTCACACAGGTTTGTTTAGCTCTAAACTGAGGATGAAAAGATATGTCCTCCCTTGTTGACTGAAGGCATCTTAACCACCATATTATTGTAACACAGCTGTCTATTGCATTTTCATTTCCTAATGCCTCCCTCTGACCTGTTTCAGGTGCAACTCTGTGGGCAGTGAATTCGCGGCGGAAGCAAGTGACTTGCCAAGTTCAATTGATAATTACAACTTTGCCAAGATAGGCTCCATTAAGCAAAGGCGAGGCATCCTCAAGTACAGCCGCAGTTTGTCGGAGTCCGAGCCAGCTGATTTCAGTCTATACTCGAGTGAATATTCCTGCTCACTCCATGATTGCTCTGAGTTTTGTCGTCATGACAACAGCAATCATAAGAGTCACGACAAGAGAGTCCGTTTCAGTGATGTTGTCAGCAGTAAAACTTTTAGGTAAGCAGTCTATTAGTATCTTATCTTCTCTATTACTATTTGCACATCTGAGATAATTCATATACTGCTTCTAAATAACACTGAGTTGACCAATTATTATTAACCTATCATTCGTTCAACTATCAGACATTTCCGCAAGATCAGATGTATTTTCATCAGGGCTATGCAAATATTTTCGGCGATTATTTGGTGAATATTCGCTTTGGCTGACTCGCGATTTCTTCGACATTTCAAATATTTTCGCCATTGTTGAAAACGAATTTTCGAACCAACATTTTCACACACATTTTCGTTGGCACCAAAAAAAAAATAACTTACTAAACATGTGTCTGGTGATCCTTAGATACTAGCTTGACTGCCTGCGCAGTTAACTGTAAATCCTGGGAATTCATACATAACTGGAGAGATAGTCAAGCCAGCATCTAGGGATCTTCAAACATATTCTTAACAGCCTTGGCTACTATCATAGCATTTCATTGTTTTTTGTGCAGGTGTTTGAGCAAATGGAACATTTTTAAAAAAAATTAATCACTCTTACTTTTTGACTTTTGTTATACTTGCGAATTTTAGCACTTTAAAAAGTACTTTTAAATTATTTTCATGACTATTTGTAGTTGTGAATAATTGATGCAAATTATTCGCTATATGCTTTGTACCTGCGAATAATTGGCAAAATTATTCACTATACGCTTCGTTTGAAAAATTCTATATTCGTACAGCCCTAATTTTTATTTTATTATTGGGTGATCTGATCAACTCAAACTATCCCATTTTTGATGCAAATTAGGGCAAATAATATCATGACCAAGAAATCCATTAGGTAGTAAGTTATTTTATCTGATAGCTTGATTGAAGAGTATGGGCTTCTTAAACACCCTTTTCCTCCTCTCCACTTCGCTTAAAAGTTGACTTATTGTAAGTATGTAAGTCAGAGGTAGAGGGTATGCCTTTCCTACAAATCCAAGGTTTCTAAAAATTGTTTCTCCATCCTCTATTTTCTGAAAGGGTTTGGGGGAGCAAGTACTGTTTTATAAAACATGGAGGTGCTTTTTACTCTTTGCTGACTTTTCTTCCTTTCATGTACCCTCACTAAACTCTAGTTTAAATTTCAAGTCAAGAATCTTCTCTCCTAAAATATTTCAAGCAAAGCAACCCAACAACTCTTAACTTTCTATTTTTAGGAGTAATGTGAGTATCCTCAGCCAGAACAAGCGGAAACAGAAAAAACAAAAGTACAAGAAGCGTGCTCAGGAGCGTAGAGCTAGTGAAAGTGAAACTGAAGGTGATGTGGACCTGGCATCTGACGATTCACACCATCGAATTCCTGCTAATCAAAATCATGAAGTGGAAGAAAATGCTTCCATCTCAGAAACATCTGGAGACACCTCTGACGGCAGTGATTGCTATGACCACCAGTCGTCTAAACCCCCACAGAGAAACAGTAAAGCGCGCAGCCGTAAGAATTGGCAAAAGACAAAAGGTGCCAACACAAAACTGCGAGTCCTCAATGACCTCATCTTCCAGCTTGATGATGTCTAATGATGAAGTGTCAATTATTATCGAATGAATGAATCAGCTTTGTTTGCAGAGTTGCAAAGTTTGCAGTAATCAGGTTTTGAATGTGTGCCTTGCATGATCTCATCTAATAATCTCTTTTGCCTATTTTTCAGTCATTCATTGAAGTGATTAATTCACAAATTTTTTGTAAATTACAAATTACATTTATTCGTTGAAAGAGCCAGTCAGCATTAGGCAAATGTAAATTCTTTTATGAGAATTACGTTTCATTCTTTTAAACTCGACCCAAATGTATTCGAGAAATTCCATAACATTTTTCTGAAGTTCAAAATATTTGCTCTATATCATGGAAATTCCCTCTTTTTAAGACTTATTAAAATTAAAAGATTCACCTGCAACTAGTTTCAGTCGTCAAAAAAAGAGACAAAATATGAAGGATTATTATGTAATTGTCGTTTTGCACGGCTCCAAAAATAAGAATTCATTCTGAAAATCAGAATAAAATGAGGTTTTTAGCTGACATTTATCCTATCAATATCCGAGAAGTGTACATGCAAATTTCAATGGATACAGTGCCTTCCTTCATGCCCCCTGTGTTCCAATATTTTTAAATATACTATACATTTGAGACTCAAGTTCGTAAAAGCAATCACAGTATCTCAATCTACATTGAACAAGTACTAAAGCTGCTTGCCGTTGGCTGAATGTTTTAAAAGAGCAGATAAAAAAAATATAATTTTTCATAACTCACTAAATGTTATTATTGAAAAAAGCAGAATGGTCTACTGTGGCAAAACTAATTGCTTTGTCAGAAGTTATCTGTTTTTAGTAATTCAGTGATGAAATTTAAATTTGCTTTTCATGAGAGGGCACCGGTTTAATTACTCTTTTGAGTTTTAAAAGTCTTGATTTGTGCGATATCAATGTTCTCAGGTGCAGTTTTATACCCAGCATACACAATCGTCGAGTATATAAAAAATCATTGTTATTTTTTGCATTTTAAATTTTAATTTATTTCACTAATCATTCTTGTTAATTAGTTTTTATTATATAAACCATAAGGACAAACCGTTGATTCATCAAGACTTATTATTTTTTAAATATTTGTTATGATAAATATCCTAAAATTTTAGTCGCACACATTTATTCTGCTGTTATTCATCATTCTTTAATTTGTATGCTTCTTTTACATGCACTGAAAAGCATGATATAATCTAGTATCTTATTGAACATAAATAATTAATTATCATCAAATGTCTTTTATTTTGTCACTCAATATCATAGATTTCTCTCTACCTCCTCCAAAGTATTCATTTCACTGTCAGATGTTGAATGCCAGCTTTTTCGTTGCTGACAGGTCTGAACTGTGAAAACTAATCGCTAATCACTGAGTGGAGGGAAAACATCAAATGGACACTATTTAAGTAAGTCCGTAATTGTCGATTTCTCAACACCTTGCCATCAAAATGTATGAGAGTAGTACCTACTCTGCAATTATGAGACACTGTAACTGCACAAGGAAGAGGAAGGAAAATAAATTATTGAAATCGCCGTCACAGTATGAATATAGTGATAGCACTGAATCTTTGCTCTTTTCATCAATATAAAAACGCTGAATGGTTTACTCAAAACTTTTTACCTCATGTTTCATAAGAAGCTAACATTTGTCAAAACTGAATTGAAAACTATTCCTATAATTATAAATGTGTACATTCAATGCATTCATTTCTTGTCTATGTGCATATTATTCTTATTTTATGCTGTCTACTCATGATATGAAGGATGATAAAAATGGAATGGCTGCATTTGGGCGTTGGGGGACTTTCAAATTTCCTTAAAAACATATTTTCAGAGGTGTGTTTTGCTTCGCCTGAAAAATATAAAACTTCACATGGGGTTGTTCATCCTAACACTGAAATTTGTCACTCATACTATTCACTCAATATTATTATTCACTCAACTCATTCAATATTTTAATTCCATTAGCTTCAAGAATTAAATTGAACCACCCAACAGGGTAAGGTATCAAGAACTGCAATATTCACTTGTTTTCTCATGAAACATTATGCAAAACTCATTTGACATTTTGAAACTTCTGCAATTTCATCATGAGTGAGAAGTAAATGTTAGGAGTGTGTACATTATAGACAGATAATTCAAAGTCCCCGTTCTAAAAAGAACCAAAATTAACTTGGATCAAACTAGGTAGTGAAATCAACCTGTACCTACGCTAAGCAAACGGCCAGAGCTTGGTTTTACACTCATTACCTTCCTTTTCTGATACCTACAAGGTACCTTCAATCTCGTCCAATGATGTTGAAATCACAGAAAAGTTGAAAATTCCTCCATCATAACTTGAACCAAAATCAATCAACTGCTCAATTTTGCTCAAGTAGACTTTTTTTTTTTTTTTTTTTTTTTTTTTTTTTTTTTTTTTTTGAGCCGGAAGTGATGCAAACTAAAGTAGACAAAAACCATTGCTTAACCGTCATTTCCCAACTTAAAGAGTATCCGAAGGATAGCTCTCAGAATCGGCGTTTTTTGGACCCTCGAGGAAATAGTGCAATATTTTAGGGGCTGTTAGAGGATCATCTGTGGAACTTTAAAATGGTCGATTTTTTGCCCCAAACTGTGGGAACAAGGGAGAGGGGGGACGTCAANCACCCCCCCCGCCCCCCCCCTCCTGGATGAGATACTTAATACTCACCCGAAATGACCTTCGAGAACACTTGAGTTTTCATTTCATACGCTAGGTACTGCTGGACGCCTCCTCCTGATAATCGCCAATCTTGTAAGCCAAGTTGCCTAACTACAAAAGTGCAGGCTATTTAAATCCGACCCAGTTTCAAGTTATCCAATTGCTCCGCGCTGATCAGCACTTTGAAATGTATGCGTTGTAAACGTAAACTGCGAATATCTGTCCGGAAAATAACCCAGGAAATAGAAATTCGAAGGGGATAATGTCTCTAACGGTTTTAGGAATTTTCCAGTCACACTAGCTTGTTCCTGGGGCAGCGGGTAGAGCCGCAGTGACTGGAAGCAGGGTGCCGAAACTCCACGATGGCATCCAGCATCAAGCGGCTAATCGGTTATCCCCCACCAGTTTTCTCAGGTGGTCCCTTGGTAGTATTGCTTACTGATAACGTCAGATCTGTTATGAGAGGCTTGTCCAAGGAGTGCATTCCTCAAAGATTCGAGGGTCATTATAGTATACAGTACCTACTTCATCAGGCACCTGCTTCTTCCACAAGAAATCTCAAGGAGGAAAAATCCATGAGCTCTTTTTTTCTTCTTTTTACCACAAGATCCCGACTTATGTATCTAACTAATTTGCAGGGATAAATCTATAAGCATATCTTCCTTTGCAGGTTGCAATGATAATGAAGACTACCCAAGGCCGGAATTAGGGGGTGGCCACATGGGCCACGGCCCATGGCCATCCATGGCGGCAAATGTTGTAATTTTTCAAATGTAGGTATCAAGAAAAAAATCTAATTCAGAAAAAAAAATTACTAACGAGAATTGGCGAAAAAATCTCTCATTTCCTGAGAGTTGAAGTATAGTAATTTCTAATTTGTTCGTCTTCCGGTGATGCAAAAGACAGAGCCTTTCATTAGTCTAGTTGAGAGAGAAACCAATAAACACGCAATTTGGCCTTGAGCGGCGCGGCGCAGAGAGCAATGATGACGAGGACTTGAAATGGAAAGGAGAAGCCCTCGGCGCGCCGGTCAGCATGAAACACATATGAGCGCCTACAAGACTGCATGAATACTTCACGCATTGCGTCAAAAACAGTGCGGTCAGCAGCGGTCGGCGTTAAACGCATAGCGCCTAGCAAGTCCCCAAATTTCGGGAAAAGTTAAAAAAAAAAACGAAATTTACACGGTCAAATTTAATCACCTTAAATTTCGTTTTTTTTTTAACTTTTCCCGAAATTTGGGGACTTGCCAACGTAATGTTGAACTGATTTTGACCTTACTGAGATAATGTGGAGGCAAATCTAGAGGAATTTGGCTTATTTCGCGGGAAAATTGAATGACCTTTGAATTGACGTATTTGGGGGTCCGAGCCCCCCTTAAAATTAAATCGAAGTGATTTCTGCAATTTTTACTTAAAAGCGGACACAATTTGGTAAATTTTCCCGTTTTATTTTTTTCCTTACGATAATTTGAACCGGAGTTATG